TCAAGGCTCAGTGGATATCAAGGGACCACTGATCTAGACTGTCAGCAGAACAGGGCTTCATACTTTGCTGTGGCAAAAGATATAGTAACATCACAGCCAAACCGAGACAAGTTACATTTTCCAACTTCTAGATTCTAGACTCCCACAAACAGCATTGGTATCCTTCTGGGATGCTTGGAGTGGCTTGGAATCTGAGGCACTGTGATGCAGTAGTTCCAGTCGTAGCGCTCAGGCAAGTTCCAGATGGTGGTGATTGGGAATACCTGCTCCTCAAAAAAGGAGCTGTTATGTGGCATTCCACAAGGTGCCATTCTATCTTCAATGCTTTTTAATATTTACATTAAGCTGCTGGGAGAGAGAATCCATAGGGATAGGGCAGGGCGTTATCAGTATGCTGATGACACCAAAATATATTTCTCCATGTCTTCCAAAACAGCTTCAACTAAGTATAGTGTATTTCCTCAGAATGAATGCCTGGAAGAGGTAATGAGCTGGATGAGGAAAAACAAATTGAATCCAGACAAAACAGAGGTGCTTGCTATCAAGCGTCCTAATCTGGGGATGGAGGCATGTCAACCAGTTCTGGAAGATGTTAAATTCCTCCTGAAAGACTGTGTTTGCAGCTTGGGAGTACTCCTGGATCCATCTGTCCAAATGTCAGCCTAGGTTGACGCGACGGTCAGGAGTGCTTACTATCAGCTTTAGCTGACGTGCCAGCTGTGCCCCTTCCTAGATTTGTAGGACCTTAAGATGGTAGTGCATGCACTGGTCACCTCAAGGTTGGACTTCTGCAATGCACTTTACATTGGGCTACCCTTGTACCAAGTTTGGAAACTCCAGCTGGTTCAAAATATTGCAGCCAGATTGGTTACAGGAACACCTAGGAGTAAAGTCACTCCACTGGCTGCCAGTTAGTTTCCAGGCAAAGTTTAAGGTATTGGTATTGATCTTTAAAGTCCTACATGGTCAGGTCCATGTTACCTACAGGATCGCCTTCTCCTGTATAATCCACCCCGAACACTGATGTCCTCTTGGCAGTGTCTGCTCCAGCTTGCTAGAATCTGACCAGCAACCACCACCCAGAGGACCTTTTCATCGGCTGCCCCATGACTGTGTAACGACCTGCCAGTAGACCTCTAATAGCTAGATCAGCTGTTGCAATTTAAGACAGAAATGAAGACCTCTCTCTTCCAGCAGCCCTACCCAGGCAGTTTTAATGACAAATTTTAAACTTCTACTTTATGTCTAATTTTTGTTTGTGTATTTAAAGTGCATTTTGTGGAAATACATTTTAATATGCATATTTAACAGAGTATTTTAAAATGATTACATGTTTGATTATGTGTTTTAGCAATGTAACTCACCTCAAGCTGTGAGGAGAGGTGGGGAAGAAATAAAATTGGGGAAGAAATAAAATTATTACTACTACCATCATCATCGTCATCATCATCGTCATCACCACCAGATTGAAACAGGTGATGGAAAAATAACCAGAGATCACAAACCAGTGTGGTGTAGTGATTTGAATGTTGAATTTGGACTCCAGGAAGGAAGGGTTCCAATTTGTGCTCAGCCATGGAAACTCACTGATTCTGGCTAAGTCACACTCTTTCCACCTCAGAGGAAGGCATTAGAAAACCGTATCTCAATAAATCTTGCCAGGAAAACCCTAACATGGGGCACCATGAGTCAGAATTGACTCGAAAACACATAACAACAGCAAAATAGAGATCAATTTCCCCAAGGCTTCCTGACTCAACACTTGCCCAACATAATGCTCTCCAGGCTACTCAGTCAACTTTTGTAGAGGGTTTGGTGACCCATTTCATAGCTACACATAAACAATGCATGAGAAAATGAAAAAGCAGAGCAGGTTTCTTTATGTCTGTAGCAATTTTGAGAGTGCAGAACAAAAGCAGAAGGAACTGGCTTCCTAGAAATCACACCTGCAAAGAAAGCATGTTTCTACATTAGGGAGATCAGCTTGGAAGCATGTTGGCATTGCCTGCTTGAAGAGGAAAAAAAAAACCTCAGAGAAATGGCCGGATAAAATGTTCAGTAGTTGGGAGACAGTGCTTCAGGGTCCTTTGCTGCTCCCAAGACAAGAAAAACTAAAATATGTTATGCAAAAATTGAGGAATAAATTATGCAAAATAAGAGACTGATACAAATTTGCTCAAACTGAATAATTTAATTCAAGGTACAGGATGGAGCTCTTCATGGCACATCTTCTAAATTGCCTAGGAGTGGAAATTTTATTTTTAATCTTTCAAGGATGGGACACACACAGGTCTGGTACTGAATTCTTTTAACTGAACTGCAAAGCAGAACCTTGCGTTTTCCAGTAGAATCCAGTTATCTAAATCTTTTGGGCTAACTAAGGTATTAAATAATTTCATTCTGGTGTACTTCAGAGTGAAATGCAAAAAAAAAACAAAACAAAAAAAAACCCAGACTCAATGCTTTTCAAAATGATTAAATCGCATATATAGATATTAAATTTTATACAGAGCACTGTTTTAAATATCTTGTGCTTTCACACAAGAATTTCATTGTGTAATTCCTCTGCCTTGTTTATGGGATATATTTCTGAGGGGGTTTGTTTTTAATTATGCTAAGCTCCCATCAAATCTTTCATCATTTTTTTTCCTCCTTGAGACAAACTGTTAGGAAGGGACTATGGGATCATTTCCATAAAACTTCTTGACTTGTAAATAGTTCTTTACATGGAGGTATCCAATTTATAGGCTCAGCAATTCTAGACCAATACCAATTGAATGATTAAGACTTTTGGTCATTTTAGTTTATTGAAGATGCAAAGGATAATCTCTTAGGATTTCCTCTCACAAGAAGGAAAGTGTGGCTGATGAAAACATTTTACTTTGTTCCCTACCATTTTTCCCTATCTTCTGGCATGGCAAGCCATCCCATGTCCTTTCCCCATCTTCTGCTTGTCTTTCCCCATTTTAAGTCATTTGGAGTCGGATAACACCCAACTCCTGAAAATGGACTTCTGGCTTCATTTCCATGCAACGCACAAATGGAGCCCCATGGACTTCCATCAATAGTTCCGTTATGTCATATGGTGGCCTCCATCGGACTCCCATGGAAATGGGACATGCAAATCGAGCCAAAAGTCTGTCTGATGAGATCCTTAGTGGTCTTGACTTTTCCCAGCCCTACGTTTCCCAGGTTTCCCAAGCATTAGCAATGAAATCTCATATACATATTTCTTGGAACTTAATCCAAGAAACTGCAAAAGACTAGAAAAAAATAGCCCATGGTTAGCAGAACATGTTTTTAAGAGCTAAGTTTCAGGGTGGGGATTTATAGAACTAGAGTGTTTTTAAAGACTACCTAATTTGCCCAGATCTGAACTTGGCCACGGTGGTCCACGCTCTGGTTACATCCCATATAGATTACTGCAACACGCTTTATGTGGGGTTGCCTTTGAAGACGGCCTGGAAGCTTCAAATAGTCCAGCGTGCGGCAGCCAGGTTACTAACGGGAGCGGGGCTCAGGGAGCATACAATTCCTCTGTTGAATCAGCTCCACTGGTTGCCAGTTTGCTACCGGGCTCAATTCAAAGTGCTGGCTTTAGCCTATAAAGCCCTAAATGGTTCCGGCCCAGTCTATCTATCTGAATGCATCTCTTCCTACGAACCCCCCAGGAATCTAAGATCATCTGGGGAGGCCCTACTCTCGATCTCACCTGCTTTGCAGGCACGTCTGGCGGGGACGAGAGACAGGGCCTTCTCTGTGGTGGTCCCTCGGATGTGGAACTCCCTCCCTAGGGATATTAGGTCAGCCCCCTCCCTCCTGACTTTCCAAAAAAAAAAGGAAAAACCTGGCTCTTTGAGCAAGCATTCGGAACCCCGGAGTAAACAGACAAACTAGAGTTGGAAATTGACCCAGGAACGGCCAAGACAATGTAATGGATGAGGATTTGAATGAGAGGACATAGTTCTTTTTTAAATTGTTTATTATGCACTGTCGTTTATGTTTAATTTGCACTTAATGTTTTTGCTTTATTAATGTATGTATTTTGTTTTGGCATCGAATTGTGCCGACTATGTATATCGCCCTGAATTGCCTTCGAGCTGAAATGGGTGGGACAGAAATAATGTAAATAAATAAAATAAATAAATAATTTACCTCTAGCAACAAAAAATCTAGGGACCTCATCACACTAGAGAATGAATCCGCTTAAAATCCAGTTGCTGCCTCCTGCAGAATTCAGGGGTTTGTAGTTTAAGGAGGAGACCTTTACAGCTTCACTAAACTACAAACCCCAGAATTCTGCAGAAGGCAGAAATTGGATTTAGAGTGGATTCATTCTCTAGTGTTATGAAGTAGTAAATCAACTAAATTACTGTGAGTAAATTAGATTATACTGTCTTCCAACCCAGCAAATTCTCCATGTACACAAGGAAAGACATAGACAAGATGGCAAATGTGAGCTGATAGTTGTAATTTTCAATAAACGACATGCCTTGGACCAATCTTTAAGCATATCCAGTTGGAAGTCAGTCACATCAATAAAAGCTTTCATAGATTAAGGGGGAAAGTGCTAGGTGGTAGATTTGCTAATTAAATTAGTAGGGCATGTCAAAGCAAATGGCCTTTAGACAACAGGCTTTTAAGTATCTTTGCGACTGGCACAGGGTTGAATTTGGCTCACTACTACAAAAACTACTAGATTCTCACTCCCCAATATTATATTTTAATACTGTCTATGCAGCTTTTCACAAATCAATGAACCATCCATAGCCAGAGAGATTTGATCTGAAATGAGGTAAGGATAACTTCCTTCCTTTTTGAAACTGGTCTCATCCCAAAATCTGTGTTGCTAAATGAGTGGAGAGGAAATACAGAACCTTTCCAAGTTTTCTTTTTTGAAGAACAGAAAGCATCCAAGAGCATGGAAATTGACTCCTTTCCAGCCCCTTTTCTTTAAGAGGCAACATTTGTTACAACAATGGTGTTTTTGCTTAACTTACTGATCTCGGACGCAATTACTGTAATGTTGTGCCACAATACTGTTTCCCGGTCAAGAAGCTTGGAAGTAAATATTGAACCATTTCCAGAATCAATGTTGAATATTCTGTCCATATCTGTATGACGATCTACAGAATACCTAGAAAGAAAATCATTGCAGTTTAAAGATGAGATCCTTTTCCATTTCACAATTGTACAATTTCACAATTTTTGAAAGAATAGATAGATATGAAAAATATACAAAGCACCAATTGAACTGGGTGCTGATTCTACAGTATAAACATTCTTGATACATTTTCATATTTTATTTATTCATTTTATTATTTAGTCTTTGTTGTAATATTAATATCACACCATGTCATGTCATATTGTTCCATTTAGATTTCATGGGTTCTATAGTTTCTGTGGTGAGATCACATGCTCATAATAAAAAAAGTGTACAGTTCCAAGTTTGAATAATTACTGTATATACTCGAATATAAGCCTAGTTTCTCAGCCTTTTTTTTAGGCTGAAAAAGCCCCCCTTGGCTTATACTCGGGTAGAGGTCCTGGTGGGAAGCATGGGCCTGAAAGAAGGGCTTCTTTCAGCCCCATGCCTTCCTACCAGGACTCTCACTTCTCTGCACAGCAACCTCACTTTCCTTCCTCTCCTCCTTTCTCACGCAGTGCATGCCTTCCTTTTCTCCTCTCTCAGTACAGCATGCGCCTTTTCCTCTCCTCCTCTGTCAACGCCAGTCTTTCCCACTTTTCCTTATTCATATACACACAGCATTTTCCCCAAAATGTATAGTTAAAACAAACTATGGGGATTACTGGAAGGATATGTAAACATATTTATATTGAAGAAGGTTAGAAAAATAATTTAATCAGAGTTGGAGAGTCTTATCTTAAATTACAGTTTTATGTAAATATTCAAAAACATTTAGCCTATTGATGCCTTAATTAATGTAATTTTATTAGCATCTCTTTTTATTTTGAAATTTACCAGTAGCTGCTGCATTTCCAACCCTCATCTTATACTCGAATCAATAGGTTTTCCTAGTTTTTGTGGTAAAACTAGGTTCCTTGGCTTATATTCGGGTTGGCTTATACTTGAGTGTATACGATACATTATATAGTTGCATTTCTGGTATTGAAGATTACAAGTAGCTCATTATATATAACTATTTCTAAGTTCTGGTTGAGAGCTCTGGCAATGGGTCAACCAAGTGAATAGGCATAAATCTAATTTATGTCAAAGATTGAAAGAACATTTGCTGTTTTACCAGTAGTTGGACAAATACTACCATGCCAGATACCTATGGTTTATTATGATTGAATGGTAACCTTATGTAGACACAGATAATTAAGATAGTTTTAAACAGTATATTTTAACGTTGAGACAAATGTTTTTTAATGTTTATGTTTGCATATAATGAATTCATGTCCCGGCACTGAGTGTTTGCCATTTGTATGTTGTGCTCCATCCTGAGTCCCCTTCAGGGTGAAAAGGGCGGAATACAAATGTTTGAACTAAATAAATAATAAATGTAATCCCACTGAATTGCTCTCAATTCCACTCAGTCTGGGTTACATTTTGATTGTTTGTAGTCACCTTACATGCTCTCCTGTAAGTATATAATGAATGCAAAGCTTCAACAAAAGGTTGTGGAATGGGCAGGGACAAAACTCACAACAACCTTTTAAAAATGGTGCTAGTTTCATTGTGATATTTATAAGAAAGGATTTTTAAGTGGCGCTGTGCATAAGCCAGCACCATTTCATCACTTACTCCAAATCCAATAAATCCAAAAAATTCACAATGCTGGAATTAGATATTATTTTCAGTTCCTTCCACTGAATGGTCAGCAGCCAAGTCTTTTCCATTTTAATAAATGGATGAAAAGCGAATTGATGAACCAGCAAATTTTTATATATTTTAATGAAAAGGAAGAGAACGTCTCTGTTAACTTAAAAAAGCCTGAGCTTGAAGAACTCGTGTCAGTTGACTTCAAAGGCTGTATGCTAATGGAAATTCTCATATGGAATCATAGGAGTTGCAAAAACTGGGACCTCAAGGCCAACAATTAGTATCTCAGACATATTGAGATTTGGCAGCGGTGCTATAAACTGGATTTTGGCAAGTTGTTTTACAGGATTTAAGCAAGCATCGTTAATGTGTTCAGTGAACTGGGGATTAGTAGTGTAAGGTTTTCAAATAGCACTCTGATATCCAGAAATCCTAATGTCATGGATTTAGCACAAGGTATGCAACACAGTTCTTAGGAGCAAAGGAAAACATATGTTTTTGATTGTGAATTTGCAGTCCAACACAGTGGGCCCTTTGTGTTCACTAGGATTTGGTTCCAAGGGCCCTGTGGAAATCTGTTTATGCTTTATTTCCCTATATCAATGGTACAGTAAAATGGTTTTCTTTCTATAAAATGGCAACTTAAAGTTTTGATTCTTTTGGATTTTTTAAAAAATGTGCAGTAATTGGGCTTTGTCAGTGGCTGCAGGATGGGTGGATGGCTGGATATGAAGGGTCAACTTTACAATGGCTGCATTGACCCTGAAGGGACATTTGTTTTTGTTGGACCAAGAGTATATAGAGTGCTTAAGCAAACATGTATCATTTGCTGGAAGGAAAGAAATAACTTGGAGGGATGGGATCATATTGTGGAGTTGTACCCAACATTTGTGGGTAGGAGTGGTGACACCCAGTTTTTTATCCCAATTTTGATAGAAACTACACATAGATTTTTTTCTATATGAAAGAGGGATAATAGAGACATAATTTGTACCATGCTGAACTCTCCAGAAACCTTTCCGTTACACTCAGCTTCCTTCATTATTGCTGAGCTATAGCATAGGTCTTCCATTTAATGGTCTTCCATTTATGTTAATGTGATGGTGCTGCCTCTAGTACTATCTAGCAGGAGTAGCAAATCTGGGTAGGAGGAACTGGGATCATTACCCATCCAGATATTGAGGAACTAGCGCCGATTAATCAATGAAACAATGAGATTGAAATTGTATTGAAATGTGGGCTACTTTATTGGAATCTTTGCCTATTTAGGTTGTTCCTTGAGATATGCAAACAGAGGGGAGCAACCTAATGTAGGATTGGCTGTGGCAGTTGGGTTCCTGGTTTCTCCTGGACAAAATTATAGAGCACCCCCCAACCCCCCCCCCTCCAAATTGGGTTCCTTGCAGATCAGCTATCTATTGGGAAGCCAACTTGAGGGTCCAATCACTAAGTTGCCTGATGTCTGTTGAGGACAAACCCCTTAGGTCAGTCCCAAGAACATTCACCATTACACCACTTAATGTCACATGGAATGCAGGGTAGTTCCAACAATATGTCCTTTACCAAATAGGTCATTCACCATAGGTGCTCAGCATTTTCCTCCTTTCTTACCCTACTACCTGTAAAATGATTGTCTAAATAAGATTCCACCTCAGGCCAATTGATACTTTCTCCATATGCTATGTAGGTAATGGTGGCAAACTACTCTCATTATACCTCACTATTGACCAAGCTGGCCAGAGGTCATATGCTACACCTAAAACCCTTTCTAGAGGAAAGCCAAGAGCTTTTGACCATATGGCAGTATGCAATAGTTAAAAATTGCTTTTTTTCCCTCTTAGGTCCTCAAATATTAATTAAAAGCTTGGTTGGAAAGTGTTGAGTATGTTTAAATTCAGAATAATGTCTGTCCTGGTGCTCCACTAAATCATATCTTCCATGCAGGCCCGTAGCCAGGACTTTGTTTCGGGGGGAGCTGAGTTTGATTTGGGGGGGGGGGGGGCTGAGTCTGAGTGAAAGAGGGTCTAGCCTAGCAAACCTTTTGTATCATTACCCCAATACCCCCATGCATATGGGATATATTGAGCATGGTGATCAGATCATGATATGAATAAACATAACAGTTTAAATAATGTACCAGTAAGGCCTTCTCGTGGACCACCTGAGAATTTCGGGGGGGGGGGGCTGAAGCCCCCCAACCCCCCCAGCTACATGCCTGCTTCTGTGCACATTATCTTTCTTTCTCTTTCAAATCCACAGTGTATAAACAAAATAGTAACTAAAGCCCCTTTTACACTGACATATAAAATGCAGATTATCTGCTTTGAATTGGATTACATGGCAGTGTAGACTCATATAATCCAGTTCAAAGCAGATAATGTAGATAATCCGGATTACATGGCAGTGTAGATGGGACATAAGTGCCCATCCCTGCTTTCCACGCTATTCCCACCTTGAATCTCCACCTGAATATTAAAATTATGGACAACACACCTTTGGAGTGCTTACTAGACAGACATGGTCACTTGTGGAACAGAAAGTTAACATAGCACTGCAGTAAGAACAACAACATGGTGATCTGGCAAATGAAAATGTATCGTAATTTTCTCTTATATAGGAAGAAAAAAAGAATTGAAGACAAGGTTACAATAGCTAACAATATATTCTAATTATATCATTAACCCTGACCTAGAAGGATGCTTTGAATAGGCTACCCTGTCATTGCTTTCATTTCATTTAAATAATCCCGGGTCCCTTTTGATCAAGTACTGCTAATTATGTTGAATTGGTGGTGACTTTGACTTACGGATCATAGCCTATTAAGAATTAAGTCGACAACATCAAACTCATTCTTTACATTTCTTTAATGAAATTACTGGTGCATGCATGTCAGATTTCGGGACTTTATTCCCTTCAAAATCCTGGGAAACTGACAAGCTGGAAGGTTAATAAATACATGTAGAGGCCATAGAGGGTACTGTATGCATAAATATTGAGAGCAGGCAAGATCAGAAAGCCAAACCGTACTGGCATCTAGTCCATAAGATCCAAGAAGTAAAAGAAATAAACCATATAGACCCATGTATATATCCAAATACTTGTTGACAAAAAAAACCTCCCAGAGTATAAGTAGGATTTATACTTGGGTCAATGTTGAAAAGGTACCAGCGCAAAGGCAGTGAGAAGAGGTGCAAAGCACTACCACATTACCCTTCCCTTCCCTAAACTGAAGAAAGAAAGACAGTCCTTGCTTCTTCCTCGCATTCTGTTATGGTCTGAATAGAGTATAGTAGTAATGTGGGGAGACCATTCTGGATTCCAGAGGTGGAGTGAAGTGGCTGTATTTTTAA